CCAAAACCTACCGTTATAGGAGGTATAAGACGATTAAACTTATATAATGACAACTACTTATCGGATAACAAATTAATTACTACTGTCAGCTAGTTCAGCTACTGTCTAGGTAGAATTTACCTAGAGTACCTACACCTACCTATGATGATGTAGGTAGATTAAAGCTTATTTTGACGTTACCTCTCACTTCGGTGTCACAAGCTGAATTTTTCAGGGATGGAAGTACAGTACATCACAGTACATGATATGGGGACCCTTATTCCGAAAGTAGTACAAAATTAAACAGGGTAAAAAGGCACTATCATCAAAAATCGATATATTAATACCACCGTATAGAGAAAACAAATACTTATTTTTTGATCCAGTACAGAATAAAGTCTTCGTAGGGAGTAATTTTTTATAATTATTTACAAAAAAACATTTCCATTAGCGCTTATGACCAAAAAAAAACTTTAAACATGAATAATCATTTCAATCATGCGAAAATTTGGTTTAAAAATAGAGATTTTTTTTTAATATAACTTTCATTTAACGAAAAACGAAGGCCTAAATGAAAAAAAGAAACAATTTAAAAGTTTCGCTCATGTCTTGACAAGGTATCAAAGCAAACCCCATATTTTTTGCTTTTAAACTAATAAAGATATATCAATAAACAATTAGCGATGTAATGGTTTTTGCGCGCGCTGGCCGACTGCCGCCGCTGCCTGCGACGTATTTCCTATACCTTTGTATATGACGTCATGGTGTGGCAAATGTAGCATTTTAATTCGATTTGGGCTCCCTTATATAGGATAACAGAAACATTTTCAATGTTAAAATGCCAAAGAGGTATGTTTCATTGTAACAGATTTACATATTTATTTTTAGATTTATTTTTTGCTTTTAAACTAATAAAGATATATCAATAAACAATTAGCGATGTAATGGTTTTTGCGCGCGCTGGCCGACTGCCGCCGCTGCGCCGAGATTTCCTATACCCTTGTATATATGTCGTCATGGTGTGGCAAATGTAGCATTTTAATTCGATTTGGGCTCCCTTATATAGGATAACAGAAACATTTTCAATGTTAAAAAATTGAGTTTTATGAGTTGCCATAATGGACACCATAATATATTTAGTAAAAAATGATGCCACGTCTCCTGACATGCGAATTAAGTAATCGACTGAAAACGTAGTTAGAGGAAAGACGAAGAACATTTTAATCTAAGCAGTATTTTTGGGAGTCTCAGTGCGTGGGTGATTAGTGTTTTTATAATTTAAGTGTAAGTATATTATACTAATTATGCTTATAATGGAGTTTCTGTAAATATAAAGCCAGCTCTCTTAGAAAACACAATTTCCATTTATTATAATTATTTGCAACTTAATTTTAACGATTTTTTAATGTAAACGTAATTGTCCCATGATCGCTCTATAACAGTAGATCTCTTAGTATTATTTACTCTTTCAGACCGTGTTTCGGAGGACAAATTTAATAGAGGACTCCAAGTGTTGGCAAGGTAACTGTTTTGATTAGATATATATTTTCTTCGATTTTTTATTTTGTAGAATTCCTGTAAGGTTCTTCTAGACAAGAAGAGATGGGCTCACATATTATGGGCTCATATAAAGATATACAGGGTCCGGCAATAGTGCGTCGGGCATCTGTAGCTCCTATAATAAGAAACTTGAGAATTTTGTTTAAGTGCAAATCTAAAGTATGTACCAGGATGTATTTCAGGAAATTATGTAAACTTTTATAGGGTAGCTCAAAAAAGTGTCAGTGGACCTGGATTATTTTTTTGAAATGGAACACCGTGTATATTATTGCATTTTTGGCTTCCTTTCTGATCACTTTACATAACCCTAAGATATGAATAAACATATTTCGATAGTTTCAGAGATATTAAAAAATAAATAAAAAATACATATTTTTCAGCCCTTCTTAAAAAATTATTATAAATACAGGAACTGTTCTGAAATCAAAAGTACATTAGGTATTTACTTTAGATGGTCTGTTCTTACTTTACTATAAATATGGTAATCGTAGATCATACAGGATGTTCAATATTCTACGCCAAACTTTCTAAAATATAAAACATTTTTTCTTTGTTTTTTTTTAAATGGAATACCCTGTATATTATTTTTTTATTAGATCGAGAGTTAAAAAATGAACATTTTTTGTATTTAGAGTATTTCAAAATTTTTATCGTTTCTTAAATGTTTAACGTTTCTTAACGTTTTTTTTTCGCAGATACACGCAGTATTATTTCATATGGCGCTGTCAATGGTAAAATACGAGAGAAAAATCATTGGGTGGCTTTGATAAAAATTTACTGTGGAAAATGCCGTATGAAATATAAAACCGCAAATATCTGCGAAACCGTTAAAATTTTTGAAATGCTCTAAATACAAAAAATGTTCATTTTTTAATTCTCCGTCTTTGAAAAAATAATATACAAGGTGTTCCATTTAAAAAAAACGAAGAAAAATTATTTTATATTTTAGAAAGTTTGGCGTAGAATTTTGAACATCCTGTATGATTTACGATTTTCATATTTATAACAAAGTAAGTACAGACCATCTAAAGTAAATACCTAAAATAGTCTTGATTTCAGAACAGTTCTTGTATTTTTAATAATTTTTTTAAGAAGGGCTGAAAAATATATATTTTTGATTTATTTTTTAATATCTCTGAAACTATCGAAATTTATTTATTCATATCTTAGAGTTATGTAAAGTGATCAGAAAGAAAGCCAAAAATGCAATAATATACAGGGTGTTCCACTTAAAAAAAAATCACCCAGGTCCACCACACTTTTTTGCGCCACCCTATAGAAGTTAAAATATTTTCCTGAAATACATCCTGGTACATACTTTAGGTTTGCACTTAAACAAAATTCTCAAGTTTTTTATTCTAGGAGCTACACACAAAAAAGAATATTCTTATTTCAAACATTTAATACCTACTCAAATAGAATAAATCTTAACTGTGTATATACGCAAAGAAATATATATTTATACTAAGTATTTAGAATGATAAATTTAATGCTACAATATTCTCCTAATGAATGATTTATTTTTTAAAACAAGAATAAAAATTTTAGATTTAAATATTTATTATTACTATATCTAAGACACAAACGATTGTTGTTTTAAGATATCAAATCTTTTAAAGCGAAAATAAACTAATTCTACAATTGAAATTGCATTTACTCTGTTTGAAATGCCTCGAATTTGAAGTTATATAACGGTTTTCTTGATCAAAGTATATTCAATCTCCATTTGAGTAACTTATTTCTCAAAATGAATATTAGTAAAAGTTTGGTTTAAGATACGAACGAATTGAAGCAACAAAAGTTTTTACTTAGTCTGAATAAATATATTTTTAAATTTGAGACTTTTCAATTCTCCGAACAATTTTCTTTTTGTTTCATTTGAGTAAAATAAAATTCTTGAAGTAAGGCAAAAATATTTCTGTTAAAAGTTTATTTTTAGTATGTACAGCATAAACATTGGAAAATTTATAAACAGTATAAATCTTAAACTTTATATTATCAAAAGGAATGAATACCAAAAAGTTTTGTTATGCTTATATGGCTTATCGAGGTTTTAATTTAAAATGTCATTATCTGCAAAACAATTAAAACCAAAGCCACTTGCCAAGACTTTTTGCTTACACGTCTATTTGAACAAATGCTTAAAACAAACTAAGTTTCCCAAGTAGTAACAAAAAACATTTATAGCTAGGTATTATCCTACAAACATTAACAATTAATTAGAGAGCCAGACCAAAAAGTCTTTATACAATTTAACTGACTATGTAAATATGGCTAAATATGGCCCTAAGTAGTCACATACTGTTTGGAGACTTTTTGGTTTGAAGGTACAGGGTGTCCCACATTCATGAATTTTATAGGGTTTCTCGCTCACGAGTAGAGATAGAATTGCGGTTTTTACAATAGTTGCTAAATTTTTAGAAAAAAAAGATGCCATCATTGGATTAAGCATAGCTCTCTTAGTTTTTAAGCTACAGAGTGATTTTGAAAACATGACATGTTTGGAAACCTACTTCTTGTAATATAGAATTAACCCGTTTTAACCATTTTAATAAGATAGCTGAGTTATATACAAGAAGTACCTGAACATGTCAAATTTTTAAAATTACCCTGTAGTTCACAAATTAAAAGAGTTATGCCTATTCCAATGATATAATTTTTCATAAAAAAGTAACATTCTATTGTTTAAACTACAACTTTGTGTCTATATTCGTAAGCGAAAAACCTTACAAGAAAATTAGACACCCTATATACATCTCACTTTTTTATGTAAGCCTAAGCCTAAAAACAAGTTAAATTTTAATAACATAACGTAACAGTCATAAATTCTCATGTACCAAATAAAAACAGATATCTCATAATACTTTTCGGTGTACCTTCTTATAAAATAGGTTTTTATAAAACAAGTTTTATATGCTGACGGTGCTGACGGTCGATGGTAAATGTTTGTGGAAAACATGACATTAAATTATTTTTAAAATCAGGCCACTAATAATTGCTTATTGTATAACCATTTAAAATAATTTCAGTGCTACTTACACCGTCGCCACTTTTATTTCCATATTTTAATGCATGTTTGGATTTTGCGTTTCACATATTTTTACTTTTTGTGCAAATCAAACGTGCACTAAAATATAGAATGTTTATTAGGGTAAAAAGAGTAATTATATCCATGTCTTGTTTTCCGTAAATGTATAAGGTGTGCTATCGACAATGACATACTCTAGGTAACAAAAAAACAACACTTATAAGTAAAAAAAAATCAGGTTTTAGATAATTCTGACTTACTAAATAACATTATCACTAAATAATCATTTGTGAATCATTTTTACCCAGCAATGCCTTTTAGAACTCTTCAGAAATAAATATGTGTCCCTGTATTTTACGAAAAATTGTTGGAACATTAAATTAAAAAATACTTGCCATACAGTTTACATTTCATTTTGATGTTATTAGGTAAAAAAAACTTTTTTAAAAATCAAAATTCGGGAACAAAGGCATTGCTGTATAAAAAGAAAAATTAATCAAATTGTGCAAGTATATCCAATAAGTTGGGAAATACCTTATCATACTCGGTTCTTATTTTATAGACACAAATTTGAATTAATTGCCATATGTGCTGGTTTTGTGGGGCATAGTTAATGTGCATTACATGGTAACATTTAAAAAGAACATCGAACGCCTCACTTACTGAAATAAACTGGTATTTTAAGCGATCTATAACTATATATGCAGTTCTTATTGTTTCTAGGTTATCGCCATCAATAAGTAAGTAAGGTTGCACTGTTTGCTTCTTTTCGAATGACTTTTCGATTTTTTCCTGAATGCATTTGTCAATATCCCCAGGATTCTACAAAAACATAAACCATGGAGCATCAAACATCATACAAAATACCTGCTTTATACTGACACATTTTTTGTGAAAAAAGTGCAAATAGGCACGCATTTTTAAAGGGACATTCAGTTTTATTTACCTTTACATGTACGATTCAGTACATCATTCCCTCGATACTTTCTAGTAGAGAAAATTTCCAGTGTCCACTTTTTGTAGTACGGATTCTTCCAGACGGGGGAAATAAATAGCTCAAAATGGTCAACTCCAAAGGCAACTTTTCATCTGAAAAAGAATTAAGAAAAGATATTAAATTATACTTATAGTACCTGTATAAAACTTGTATAAAATTAGGCCTCATTAGATAAAATAACATTAAAGCAATACACAATTTACGTTACCTTCATCTTTTAAGTTTCTTAAATTCTTTAGTAGTGACAGCGCTGTTGTATCAGAAACTTCGTTTTCTTTATAGGAAATGACTTTGTTAAAAAACTTTTCCCAATTTAGATGAAACGCCACATGAGAAGAAGGGAATTTTTTTTCAAAGTCTAAATTAATCTGAAAATAAAATTACATATAGATAAACACTGAATATTAATTTTACGATACCTAATACTAATAACTTTTTATTATTTTCAAAAATATGCCAATATAATAGGATATTTAAATATTTATATAAAAAATATCTAAAAATTAACGCTAAAGAGCACACAAAGTCACTTGACAAAAAAGAATACCTTACTTACCAAAACAGAAGCTCTTAAATCATTTAAAATAGGTCATTTTTCAAGGTATTGCGACACTGAGGGTGACATGTCACATGATGTGGATCGAACTTCCCAGGTTCGAGTCCAATATTCCATTACTTTATTCCATGGCTCGGTATTATGTTGCAGCCATGCAATTTCTTCTTTAAATGTATCTAAAAATTGCTTTCTCTTAATTAAATTAAACTAAATTTTACTATTTTATTGCTATACCTTCTAAATTATCTTCTTTTTGTTTCGGGACAATACCAAAAGATTCTTCGTCTTCATCTTCATGTGCCCTTTTCCTTTGTTTTTGGGTATCACCAGATCTAAATAAAATATTTCTGCAGTGATTCACCAGTTTGCCCTTAGCCATAACTGGCTTGTGAAATGGACTACATGCTTTTTTCACAGGGGGACAGTAATACACTCCCATTGGCTCTGTTGGAAAAAGCAGCACTATTTTAGCAGCCAAAGAATTGTACTCATCTTGTTGAAGTCGACTAAAAAATAATAATTTTTAGTTTTTGCTTATGTAAACTCAAAAGCGAGTTCAGATGAGTGAAAAGAGTATTAAAAATGTTATCTATTATAGTATTTTACTTACTTTTTAACTATGTGGTTGTATAAATGTTTTACAATGATTGACACTAGTCTGTTCCTTCTAATATTGTCCAATTTATTATTAATTTTATAATAATTTAGTATACTTTTTCCTAATGGGGATGTCAATAATAATGTCTTAAGGTCAAAATCCTCAAATCTAGGCTTAAGGAGCAGTTTCAGGAAATCATCATTTTCATATATTATGACAGGAGTTTCCGCCGTTACTTGTACATTAGACTGGTGACTACTTTCATCAGTAGTAATGTTATCATTATTGTCACAAGACTGATCAAGGGATTGATTCAATTCTGATGTTTCTGTTACAGTTGAAGCACTACATTCGCGATGATTCTTAAAAATAAAAAAAGTTCCCCTCTTTCTCACAGGGTCTTTTAAAAAAAATTAACTTACCAGAGAGTCATTTTTCTCTTTAAGTTTTTCAATTTCTCGCAGAACTGTAAGTCTGGGGCCCATTTGAGGAATTAATTCTTTTAATAGACTATTGTCTAAGTAGGGCAACTGGTCAATAGTAATTTCATTATCTATAACATCAGCAAAAATTTAGTAGATAAGTCAGGGTGTCAACAACAATGCCTAAACAATAATGCCCGATTGCATCAGGAAAGTTTCCTTAAAATAAAGTCCAGCTTTATTCAAAAATAACATTGATATTTTGGGGTTAAGCTCGGCTAAATTTTAAGAAAACTTAAAAATCCGATGGTGCGCAAGGTATTAATTTAGGTACCAAGTTGATAGGTATACGGTGTGATATGAAACTCAGTCGAAGCCTCAGTAAGATTCAATCATCATAAGAAAAAGCAACACAAAAAAGTTTCAAACAACTTTTATATGTATAATATCATACCCAAATCAGCACAAAAATATTACCGATAGTTTAATAGAAATACTGAGGGTAGTGCAAGGAAATGAGCTCAGATCTTAAAAATAGGGCTTCAAACTTCGCTTGGAAGAACCTATTATATTGGCATATTTTCATATTTGTAGTACCTAATGAGAACATTTAATAGCAAATAGGCACAGTTATCTTCATAAAAAAAATATACCTACTTAGCACATGTATGGCTAATGTCAATATCTAGTACGAGATCTAGTACTTCTTAAGATGTAAAGAAAAACTGAGGTTGATAATGTGACTAAGTACACCTTTTGTGCTTACAACTGTGTTAAAAAAGACGCAACATAATAATTAAATATACTTAGGTACCTACCCGTTATGCTAATAATATGAAGGCTAAGAATTAACCGAGGAGTGAACACATTTTTACTCTTGTCGGTTTGGTCAAAAACGAATATCTAGTAAGTATTAATAAACCAAACAATAAGGAGTTCAGGTAAGTATTATACCAATTTTTCATTCATATTTATACCTGAACACTTTCAGAGTCAGAAGAAAGGTGTCTATAAGCCGAGTTTCCCTATGCAATGCAACATCTACAATTAATTGGTCTTTAAATTTTAAATTAACAATCATTGAATAACTTCTATTGTGATATTTGGGCATACCTATCTACACTTTTATTCTTTAACCTACAATAAAAAATGATCAGCAAATTTTGAGGTTAGGTATCTTTTCTTTTAATAATTATTCGAGTTGTAGTTTGCCAGTTTGTGTCAACCACCAACTTTATGTTAAAACTATTTATTACATTTCACGGTCTTAACTATTCTGTAAAAACTTCGCTTTATTTGCAATTGTTAGATAAAACTAACCTTTAAATTTGCTTTACATAGGTTACCACAAGGTTACCACATGCGCCTATATTAATTGAAAGTACCTACTACTTTACTTACCTTTAAAGGTTTTTATGACATCTTGGGATAAACCCCACGACGCAAGCTGTCGTTCTATTGATATTGAAGGATTTTCCATAAATTCCATAATTAATAACTAATCGCACCACGGCACCAAACGCAACAGCACGCCATGCAACACCCCTACCGCGTCCCATCAATCAACTGTAAACACAGAACACACTAAAGAAGAACGCTAACTCCCATGCATTTTTTAGTTTGAAAACGGTTTCAAATTTGTAAAGAAATCTGTAATCTGTATATTGAAATGGCGCCATCTAGCCACCCAGGAAAGTAACAAATGTGGCGGCAAATTTAAATAGATCCAATTTATTTTTAAGCAAGACGTATTGACTTGTTCGCCAGTTAGAGCCAATCAGATTTCTACAAAATAATGTGTAGTCATCTGATTGGTCCCAAGTTGGCAAACAAGTCAAATGGTAAAAAACAAGGATTTATATATAAAGGTTAAACCAGGTTAAACTATTGTAAAGTGTTAAATGGTTTGCTTATATCATTTTATGTGCATAAAAACCTACAATAAATAATTTAATTTAATTTACAGAAAATTATACCATGAAACATTTTACAAACAAATAAAACAACAGATTAAAAAGTATAATATTTATTATAGTACCAGATTTAAGAACACATAACAAATATCGTTGGAATACAAGAGAAAGTGACGTCCATTAGAAACAATGTTTTATTTATGTGTATTTTTTACATATGGACTTGAACAATTGTGTAATATCATATTGTGAAGTTTATGTACAAAAATATGGAGTTGATCAATTTTTTTTGTAAAAATATATGGCGTTGTAAATATTACATTGTTAAAAAATAAAATTCACGAACATTTGGACTTGGTTAGGTTACCTCACCTCGCTTTCTCGGATTATTAAATAAAATTGTTAGATAAATCAAAAACCTTTAACTTAAACCTTACCTTTAATAGAGATCTTAAAAATCAAACACAAAACAAAGTTCAAAAAAATTCAAAAATACAAAATCACGATTTTAAAATGAAGATTGCAAAAAACACAGCCAAACAACCAGCAAACAGCGAAACGCACATCTCCGTTCAATTGCAAAACACAACTGAAGAAGAAGGAGGAAGCCGGAAACGGAAAACTGATTTGACATACAGAACAATGACAGAACATAATTAATAGGCCTATTTAGGCAACTATAAAAACAATTTTGTACGCAATTGTTAGGCAACTAGAAAAATTAAAATGAAAATACGCCATCTAGCGCCCCAGGAAATTACTACCCCAAAAACAGATCGTTCAAGGTCGTATATCTCAGTTGACTGGCCCTGACTGTAAAATACCGATTACGGCCATTACGGGCCGCCTGAGATAGGTTTAGAAAACAAGTAATGGGAGGGGGTGAAATGAAATTTGCTAATTCTCAAGACAAAATTAATAAAAAAAAATAATTTTAATCCTAGTAAATATGTTTATTTTTTAATTGGTTTGTGGCAGCAAAATATATTTAAACGGAAACATAGTAGTTTCAAAATGTGTATAAAATATTTTTATTTTAAGAAAAACTGTGTTTTAATTCCTTGGTTATTTTTATTTGGAGAATTTTATTATTTTATACTAAACAATTAAAGCAAAGATTTGTTTTAAATGAAGTATATAAGATTCTTAAAATAATATTTTATTTTTCTTGATCAAAACCTTATATATTTCATTGAAATAGATTGGTATATTTTAAATAGAATATGTAACTTATTTTGGAAGCAGTATATTTAAAACTTCAATTAATACTATCAGAGTTTCTAAACAAAAATATTATTTTAAATTAAGAAAATATATTGAATAATTATTATTTTGCTTTTAAGCAAATGCATATATTTAAACAAAACATATATACTTGAAAAAAGTATCTGTTTACTTAAATTTAGTAAAAAATTTTGAGAAAATATGTTTACATAAATGAAGTATTTCTTTTTTTGTGTGTACAGATGCCCGACGCACTATTGCCGGACCCTGTATAACATATTTATATATATGTTACGGTTAAGGTCCGAGGTCCGGTTAATGTCGACATTACCCGGTTAATCTCGAGAATAACACACAACAAAACAACCAGAAACCTAACCTAACCGAAACATTAACCTCTTAATGTCGACATTAACCGGACATCGGACTTTAACCGTAACATATACATGCCACAAATTAGCCATGCATACAGCGAAATTATTTTTTCAGTGTAGGGTATCCTTTGTCTATACAGAAATCATATGCAAACATATATACCGATCTGGTCATCAAAAACTGCGTGGTCTGGACTGCTGTCGACAGCTTAATGGAAAATGAAATGTATTAAAAAGAGATTCATAGTCGGGTTGATACATTTCTTCTATGCGGTATTGCCGGATTTTTCATCAAAATTGAAACCGCTTAAGTAGAGGTTTGTAAAAAATGTTGCTCTAGAGTTGGAAATATGATCTGTCATTTTGGTCAAAAGTGGTCAAAACCAACAAGATGGTAAGGCTGCAAAATACACTGCAGTGCAACAGAGACGGATAAAGTGTCTTTTCCCTACCATCGTATAGGGGAAGTGATCATAGAAGTGATACGACGAGAGAGCCCCTGCGAGAGGGGGCGCCGGGCGGGTCTTTAAGACGCTTGTGTGGGGGCTACCGCCTACTAATAGAACAGAATCGAAAAAATAGAAACAGGACGGACAGTGTTGCCATTCAATTAAATCGAAATTATGTTGGCTTGTCAAAATCCTAAATCTTCTAATCCCATTATCTTGCCTACTTAATGAAATATTAAATAAAGTACGAAACAATTTTAAGAATGTTTTCTCTAGGCACATAACTTCTTTCTAAAACGAAAAGTAACATGCAAAACTTTGAAATCATTTCTAAAATAGCAAGTGCAATTCTATGAAATGGCAATACTGTACGATCTTCCTAGCAGTCGCCCCGACACAGTCGGTCGGCGGCGGCGCTTGACAAAGCCGCGGCTGTGACAAAGGAATTAGGCCGAAAAAAACTTTATAAGGAGTAGCCGAACAGGGTTGCCGGGTTGGTTAGATTATAATTCCATACGAGAACAAAATTCTCGGTAGATCTTCAACAAAAATTAAAAGTACAGAAACGAAATAAAATATAATATTTAAGTCCAAAATTAGCATTCCTATGTGTCGTAATAATAGATCACTCAAATAAAATACAAATATAATAAATATAACAAGAATTAGAAATAGCTAGGTATATTATTTGATATTAAAAAAAATATTGAATTAAATAATATTAATATATTAATAAAAACATATAAAACTATAACAAGTAGGGATAGCAGTCACAAATTAGTGTAGCAGTCACTTTTTACCTTTGTACAAATTTTGATCAGTGATATCTAAAATTAATTTCATTTCAATGGGAAAGCTGTAGCAACTCTCAACTCTTTTTTCATATTAATATATTTTTTTGACGGGAAAATCACTAAAATATTTGTCCGAATTTAGGTTGTTTCTTAACTTAAATTTTGTTTTTTGTTTACATTTTTTGGGGAAAATATGGGTTCAACTTTAGTAGATGAATGAAATAAAATCTTTTCAAAAGATATCAACTTCTTCGGGCATGTCGCCAATACCGCGCCTAATAAGGAGTAATAAGGAGTAATAAGGATTTTTAGGAATATCTCTGTAACTCTGCAACTAGACAGAACGATGACCTGTATGTGTGTTATTACTAAATAAAATTTAATGAAACAATAATAAAGTCAAATTATACAGATTCCAACACGGCAGTCGCTTAATTTTTAGTCAAATAAGTCAGCTTTTTATAAGTGCTTCTATTGTAAAAACTAAAGACGCAGTTGAATATATCGTTAGATTTTTCTTTAAATCGGTAGATCGGTAGCTTACAGACGAAACCGGTAGACCTGGCAACTCTGTGATGAACTGACGGGAGTCAGAATAGCGAGGTGCGGAGGCGCGGGAAGGGAAATAAAATAATGGCGATAAATAAAGGGCAGGGAGATGGGTATCATGAGTGGATGGGAGGTGGCGGAATTTTCAAAATTTGTTATCTTATTGGAGTTTGTCTAAGTAGACAGTCGTAGTGGAAGTGGAAACGGGGAAGTTGTTGTCCATCTCTGTTTAAGCATAGACTTTTTATAGGCGTTTCATTCCAATGCATGTAATTCCTATGCCTGAGATCCATTGCCGGGCCTGTATATATATATATATATATATATATATATATATATATATATATATATATATATATATATATATATATATATAAACGCATCAAAAGTATTATTTATTTAAAAAAATTAGATTTTTTTAGTGAAATAAATGGATTGGTACGGACGTCATCTGTCTTTTTTCTGTCATCGTCTGTCAAAATAATTCCTGATACGTCAAACAGAGTATAGTAAAAATTGTCTGGGTATAATATAAAAAGAATCGAGTGAAAATCAAACAACTCGCACCAGAAACCAGAATCACCCTGTACAACTCAGGTCTAGGCCCAGAACGCATAGAGAAATGGAATAGAGCAATTAGAGCACCGGAAGCCATTATCTGGCCCTCGAAATCTTTTGAGATGGTCTGTTCTGGAGCGGATTTTTAACAGCTCTTTATATTTGAAAAAACGATCCCTATAATGAGGCACGTAGGCCTTTTGTTTCAGCCACGACGAACGGGATTTTCGAAATGGATTTTTCCATGACATATATTTTGACCTCTTT